CCCCTGCTTATGGATCGGGAGAATTAACATTGTTAAAACGGCAATACTCCACAAAACATCGTACAAATTCAATGCGATCCCTATAATGATACCCCTGACATTCTTCACAGAAATGGAGCAAACACTCCTGAAATTCATATGGAACAATAAGCCCCCACAAATAGCTAAAGCAATTCTTGGGAAAAAGAAAATGGAAGGAATTAACCTCCCCAACCTCAAACTCTACTACAAAGCAGTAATAATTAAAACAGCACGGTATATAACAAAGGCAGAGCCACAAACCAATGGAACAAGGTTGAATATATTGACACTTCCCCCCAAACATATGATCATCTAATCTTTGATAAGGGAGCAAGAAATGTGAAGTGGAGTAAGGAAAGCCTCTTAGACAAATTGTGTTGGCAAAACTGGACAGCTACATGCAAAAAAACGGGCTAAGATCTCTACCTAATACCATATACAAAAGTAAGATCAGAATGTATTAACGATCTCAACATCAGACCAGAATTCATAATGTACATTGAATACAAGGTTGTCAAACCCCTCCACGACATTAAAGTGAATGGTATCTTCAAAGATGACACGCCACTGGCCAAACAAGTGAAAACAGAGATAGACAAATGGGATTATTTTAAACTAAGAAGCTTCTACACCTCAAAAGAAACAGTACCAAAACACAAAGAGTCTACAGAATGGGAAAGGATATTCGCCCTATAACCATCCGACAAGGGTTATATATCAAGGATATAAAAAGCACTGGTTGAACTCCACCAGAAGATAACATCCAATCCCATCAAAAAATGGGGCAATGAAATGAACAGAAACTTCCTAAAAGAAGAAATCCGAATGGCAATATGGCACATGAGAAAATGCTCTACATCTCTTATCATCAGGGAAATGCAGATCAAAACAACAATGACATATCATCTAACACCACAGTGACTGGGACACATCCAAGAGAACAAAAGCAACCGATATTTGCATCGATGTAGTGAAAAAAGGACCCTCCTTCACTGCTGGTGGGAATGCTGACTGGTTCAGCCCTTTTGGAAAGCAGTATGGACTATTCTCAAAAAATAGAAATTGAGCTCCCATTTGACCCAGCAATACCACTCTTGGGAATATATCCTGGAGAGGAAAAAAAGTATAGTCGAAATGACATCTGCACTTCTATGTTCATTGCTTGCTGCACTGTTCACAAAAACAAACAACACTGTCCTCCCTTTGTTCATCGATTTGCTTGAGCGGGCCCAGTAACGTCTTCATTTTCAGAGTTATTGTTGTTGTGTTTGTCATAATGAATACGCCATGGGTAGCTTGCCAGGCTTTGCCGTACTGGCAAAATACTCTCGGTAGCTTGCCGGGCTCTCCAAGAGGGGTGGAGGACTCGAACCAGGCTTTGCTGGACTGTCTGTGCGCAAGGCAAATGCCCTACCGCTGTGCTATCTCTCCAGCCCTCACTGTTCACAATAGCTAAAATTTGGAAAAAATCCCGAGTGCCCTAGAACAGATGACTGGTTCAAGAAACTGGTACATCTATAGAATGGACTACTATGCAGCTGTTAGAAAAGATGAAGTCATGAAATTTACATACAAGTGGTTTTACATGGAAAGTATCATGCTAAGTGAAATGATCCAGAAAGAGTGGGACAGACATAGAATGACTGCCCTCGTCCAGGGGATATAAAGTAACAGAATGGGAGATGAACACCCAAAAATAGTTTAGAAAAGTACTAGAAGGTCTGTTCCAAGGCTTGGAAGCTGGCCTCACATGCTGGGGGAAAAGGCAGCTCAGATAGAGAAGGGAACACAAAGTAAAGGATGTTTGGAGGATTCACTTGGGATGCAAGATGCATGCTGAAAGTAGACTATAAACTGAACACGATGGCCACGCAATACCTCTATTACAAACTACACCACCCTAAAGGAAAGACTGAGCAAAAGGGAATGCTCTGTAACAGGGGAGTGGTGGGGTAGCGGGGATGGTGTGGGGATGAGAGGGCTACTGGAATCATTGATGTTGAAGAATGGACACTGGTGGAAGGAAGGGTTCTTGATCATTGTGTAACTGAAACCCAAGCATGAAAGTTTATAAATCTACAACTGTATTTCATGTGTTTCACTAATAAAACAAACCATACATTTATTTTCAAAACAACAGTGTCCAAGATTTGTGTTGATGAAGTAAATACTGACATCAACATCAACTACCTTCTTGAAAATTTTCTATCAGAGACAAAAAAGTTGACGATTTGCCCAGCTCTAGTTTTCACTAACCTACTTTGAGTGAATATGCATCTAAGGCAGAGTTTCCTGATAAAGTTAACATTGCCTCCCCAGGATGTTTCTGAAATGATGAGGTGGGGTTCAATTTGTGATACTTTCTCTTTGTTCACTGAAAGAAAGCATATTTTAAGAGGAGCCCTTTTTCTTTTCTGATAAAGAATGGCATGCCAAAAAAGTCTGTGAACCCCTGGTATAAGGGAAGGTGTGATGATGTGAATGGGGGATGAAGATATAATGGCTACTTGCCTCAATCAGGATTCTTTGATTTCTCTTTCTAGAGTTCTACTGTTATTGTTAATGTTGAGAGAATTTTATAGACAGCTAGATTATTTTATTTGAGAAGGTATTTCTTGGGCTGAAGAGATAGTCCAGGATTTTAGATACTTGATTGCATGTTGCTGATTCTAGTTGGATCCCTTCCACCACAGATGGTACTCTGAACACTAACTTATGTGATTACTGATAATGGTCCTAGGAGTAAGCCCTGAGCACAGCCAGGTGTGGTCCTGGAACAAACAATATAATAGCCACTTTCTCCGAATATAATATTATTTCTAAAGCGTTTACACTCTGATTCCTAGCATATCTGGGGTGGATCTGAGACTTTAGTAAGTCATTTGATTGTTTCAGCCCATGGGTAAAGTATTATATCCTCCGAAGGACAAATATTTCACACTTGCCGTAATACTTACAAAAGATTGATACATTAAAGTGCAGAAATGAAAGCATAGAAGAAAATATACACAATGGTGAGGGACTCTGACGAGGGATTTTGACTTACAGAGTTTAATGTATGTTCTCCAGCTTTTTGAGTCATAGCCTTCATCACCAAAATGCACCCATATTTGAAGAATTATTGGTTAACTACACATACTAACAACTCACTGTTTTTAACAAAGAAACACATTCATCCTACTAAACCAACGATCTGGAAGGGGTAAAGGTTAGATTTAAAATCTTAAAGATCTTGCTACAGCATCTCATCCAACAGTATATCTATGTAAAGGGTGCAAAGATAAATTACTGAAGTTTATACTGCTGAGGGTAATCAAAGAAAAGTTCCTGGTGGTAGTAACTTCTGAGTATTGTCCTGAGGATGACATAAATTGGTGAACTGAAAATAAATGATATGAATTGGGTATTTGGAAAGATATATAAGTGATCTCTTGACAGTAAAAAGACTGTTTCCAAAGTGTGAAATTTGAGAAGAGTTAATATAGTCTGGATGGAAAAGCAAAGAAGTAGAACTTGGAGCAATCTTAAACTCTTTATGTATCATATGAATAAATTAAATGTAGCAAAGTTATGGGTGCCCTGTGATCATACAAAATAATCATTAAAAAGTAACTTATTATGGAGATTAATTTTGACTTTCCACCTGGCTGTGGTTACAACCAGCCTTCTGCAAGACTTTGAGGTATGTGAAGGTTACTTCTTATCTTTTCTTTATTTTTTTTAGAAGACAGAATTAATTTTATTAATTTATGGGGTATTTAGAGCGATGCTCACATCATGCTCAGTTACTCCTGGCTCTGCTTTCAGGAATCACACATGGGGGTTTTGGAGGGACATATGGGAAGCTGGGAATCGAATTTGGGTTGGACACATGCAAGGAAAGTGCCTAACCACTGTACTATGTCTCTGGTCCCCTAACTTTTCTTGGCTCTCATACAATTTTGTATGATTGGGCATATACCCCAATTTAGAGAGTCCACTTTGATTTTAGTAATTAGTTGTGACTTTAATTCCTTGTATAATAATAGCTGTCCTTTGTGGGAACTAACATTTTCTGAGGGATATCTGAAAAAAATACTTCAAAGGAAGGAGTCTAACCTTGATAACATGCCAGGAATTGAGGAAGATGTCTTGGAGCAGCTGGTCTTTCACATTCCCATTTAAATTTAAACAAGTCCTTATAAATTGGCTTTGGCTAAAATGCATAGTTCCCAGCTGATTTTGAAGACTATGTTGTATAGAGACATTTAGTAGGAGATAAGAATTTTAATTTTTTCTGTCAAATGTCCTGATGATTCAGGATGCCATTCTTTGCAAACAGTACCTGCATTGTACTTTAACAGTCTGGTTAAAACTGCAGAGCTTAAGAGTCAAGATTAGCCAGAATAATAGCCAGACTGTACTGATTTCCAGCTATAATTTTGTGCAATTAGTTTATCCTGTGTACTGGTCCCTAATTTGCATACAACAGAGATAATAAGAATAATTGTCAGGGCTGGAGAGACAGTCAACAGGTTAAAGTACATGCCTATATGCTGCTAACCCTGGATCAATCCCTGGCACCACGTAATTGCCTGATGATGATCAAAAGTAATTCCTGAGTACAGAGCCAGAAATAAGGTCTGAGCACCACTGGGTTTGTTGGTCAACCCCCAAATATTCGATTACCATATATAAAATTATTGTATTGCAAAAATATGCATGTCCAATAAACCTAGCATAATTTTTGACAACGATTAGACTGTCATGAGGATCACTATGACTGCCTCCATCCATATAATTTCCTCAGTTTCCTCATGTAACAAAATATTGTATTACCTATTGCTGAAACAAGTACTGGTCATCAGCAAAGAAGGAAAGGAGGAACCGGGTGGCCCAGTTTCACTTACTGTTTATTACTGTCACTTTAATCCTAATATCCTGCAAACAATATATGAGAAGACAAAAACATCCTTATGTCTCTGTCCCTGTTTCTACAGGTACCTGTCAGCTTGGTTGGGCCTATTACTGTGCTGGAGGTGGAGCAGCAGCAGCCATGTTGATCTGTACCTGGCTTTCTTGTTTTGCTGGAAGAAATCCCAAGCCTGTCATGTTGGTGGAAAGCATTATGAGAAACACCAACTCTTATGCCATGGAGCTTGACCACTGCCTCAAACCTTAAACTTTGGCAGAGGATTGAGAAGGTGGAGAGGTCGAGGCAAGACAATTCTAAAATGAGTTACTAAGGACTAGCCAGTTGTTACTCATCTGCAAGTTGTGTAACTTAATATTTGCGTGGTTTTTAACTCACCAGGCATTTATTGTTAGTTTTACTGAATTCAGTTGGTCAGAAGTCTTTAAAATAAATCTATAAGAATGTCCTATCAAATATTTTCCTAGTTGCTGAGTACCAGCTAGCAGCTAAATCTGAAAAACAAGGAAAACTCTCTTTTTAAAAGTAATTTTTCAATCAAGCAACACTATAGAGTTTTTCAGTTCCTGCCTACTACTTCTTAAAGTCTGGGTAAGAATATTTGTGCAGAGAGAGTTTAAAAAATGGGTACGGATGGTCCCCACAATGCCACTCATATGGCACCCCACTTGGCACTTATTGCCTTAGCCAAACATTTGGAATTTCTTTCTTTATCAGAACTATACCTTGGTTGTTACTTCCCCAATTCTGGCTTCATGACTTTTTAGTTTTGAAGAAACTTATCAGGAAGGTGATTTCTAGTAGAGGGATAGAACACTAATTAATGTTGCTTGCATTTTATCTAAAGCCTCTTCCTAATTTGCTTTTAAGATGTGTGTCAAAGTTAATTTTGTGTACTGCCTGTGACTGTCACTAAAATATAGCCACAATATTCTCTTATCACTTATAAACACAGAAATGGTATTCATCAAATACTCTGAGCAGAAACTAGTATTTGTTGTATATTCAATAAACAAAAATTCACAATTATGATGACAAGGATATTCCTGCTGTCTGTCATTGAAATTTCTATCAGAGTTCATTATTATTGACTAAGCTTTCCGGTTGCTGTTTTCCCTTATATTAATTTCTAGCATGATATAAGTTCCTGTGTTTGTTTCAAAGCTTGTTCATCAAATGTTCTCCCTCGCCTATAGGACAGATGTGAAATAATACAGCCTTGATACCACCTAGGGTTTGTGAATTTTAGGCATAGATCTATCCCATCTGTTCTCAAGGCTGAGGAAGGTGTAGGACAACTTATTGTTTTCTGGGGGTTGAATTTTCCTCCTAATTAATTTAGGATAACTTCCTATTGTTCCATAATTTCAGCTTTATGGGTGATGGAGAGGCTGTTACTCAAAAGGCCAATTTATCTATTCCCATTATTAATCATTTCAGAATTTTTTAAGGTATAGATTTACCTGTAAAGACTAAAATGATAAAGCCTGGTCTCATTAATTATATGCTATTTCAAGAGGAATATGGTTCTTTTGTTTTGTTTTGTTTTTGGGTCACACTCAATGATACTCAGTGATTATTTATGGCTTTTCACTTAGGAATTACTTCTGGCAGTGCTTGGGGGACCATATGAGATACTGGGGATTGAAACCAGGTTGGCTGTGTTTAAGACCTGGTTGCTGTACTGTAGATCTGGCTCCAAGAGGAGTAAGGGTTCCTTCTTTTGTTTTTTGGATTTTTGGGTCACACCTGGCAATGCACAGGGGTTACTTCTGGTTCATGCACTCAGGAACCACTTCTGGCAGTACTCAGGGGACCATATGGTATGCTGGGAATCGAATCCTGGTCTGCTGAGTGAAAGGCAGACACCCTACCTACTGTGCTATCACTCCAGTCCTGGAGTAAGGGTTCTTATACCAATTTTATGTGGGCAAGAAAATTCAAGCACATATTACATTCATGTCATTTATTCATTTAGTCACTAACATGACACATCTATTGTGTACCCTACCATATGCCTCATTCTGTAGTGCATATTGGGAAAAGAATGACTACAGTTTTTCACTCTACATAAAGGATGGTAACTATATGTAGCACTGTACCACTGTCATCCCGTTGTTCATTGATTTGCTTGAGCAGGCACCAGAAATGTCTCCATTGTGAGACTTGTTGTTACTGTTTTTGGCATATCAAATACAGCACGGGGAGCTTGCCAGACTCTGCCGTGCAGGTGGGATATTCTCGGTAGCTTGACGGGCTCTTCGAGAGGGATGGGAATTACATAGGAAGAAAAAAAGAGAAGGAAAGGAACCTAGAGGGCAACAAGAATAATCATAAGGGAAGCAACTGGGGGGGGGGCAGGGATCAAGGGCCTAGGATGGTACATCAGAGAACTGGTATAGCTATATATCCAAACCACAGAGAGAGGCAGAAAGAGAGAAAGAGAGAGAGAGAAATAGAAGAAAAGGACCTGCCATGGAGCAGGCAGGAGGTTAGGGGGTGGGGAGTGATGGGAAAGAACCTGGGTCACTGGTGCTGATAAGTGTACACTGGTTGAGGGATGGGTGTTGGAATACTGTATTACTGAAATTCAATCATGAACAGCTTTGTAATGGTCTATTTTACAGTGATTCAATAAAAAAGTAAAAAAGTATTGAAATCAGGAGATCCAAACTATACAACCAAACTTAGAGATGTGTCTGTCAAAGCAGCAGACTGGGATGTGGGGTCGCGGCAGAGTATGAACCTCAGAGGTAAGAGACAAAGAGACAATATTGTATCACTAACTGTTCCTAGAATCTGGTGATACAATTCCCTTCCCTTACATCTTGCTTCCCAGGAAATCTAAACTTTGCTCCCCTCCATGTCCCTGTTACCTAAATTCACTGTGAAGAAGTGGATTTTTCTCATCCCCGCGAGCTAGTTGAGAAAAAGGGAAGATAATTAAAAAGATCTATCTTAGTATTGGTATGGATGTGTAGTAAAAGTAACCTTTGTACACTGCTGGTGTAATGTTGCTGGTGGAATGTCAACTGTTTCAAATTTTTTGGAAAACAATTCGGGCACTTCTCCTGAAACTGAGAATTGAGTTTCCATATGACTCAGCAATACCACACCCAGTGATCTATTCCAAGGGAACCAAAATTATATTCATAAAAGACTTTTTCACTCCAATATTCATTGTAGCATTATTCAAAATAGCCATAATCTGGTGTTCAAGAACAGATTACTGGACAAAGAAACTGGTGTATATACAAAAAAGGAATACTACTTGGTTATAAAAATTATGAAATCATGAAACTTGCTACCACATGGATGAAACTGGAGGGTATTGTCTTCTGTAAACTCATCCAGAGAGAGACAGATAAGGAATGAGTTCTCTTATATGTATGATATAATGAAAACAGTAAGGGAATAACAAATGCACAAAATAACAGACCTGAGAAGTGGTGTATGGAATGGAGCTCACTATGCTTGAGAGATTTGGTAGAAGTGGAGGGGATAGCTAAGGAGAGGGATGGTTGGAGGTGGGGTGTCTGGGGACAATGGTTGAGGGAATCAGACACACTGGTAGGAAGTGTGGTGTTAGAATTTTGTATGCATGAGATCCTACTATTGACACTATTATCAAATTGTAAAATTGAGTAAAATAAAATAATACTTGAAACTTAAAAGATAAATTTAATGCCCCCTTCTCTCTTTGCCAATTGAACTTATGTCTTAATTGGTCATTCAAGTGAGGCAAACGAAGTGTTCTTTTAAAACTCACACAAACTGGGTTTGTTTTGCATCCTGTTAGGGGAAACAGTATGGAAAAAATATTCATTTTAAAGGACTATTACCTTACATAAGATAATAGTTGAGACTACCTTACATTTTCAAAATAAATATTTAAAATGTGATATTTTTCTCCTGTTATGAAATCCAATCTGAAGAACTGAAATAAGAAATGAATATAGTTCCTTTTAAAATTTATACTTGAATTTAAATTCTTCCCTGCCTGTATTTGGTTCTTTCCTTTCAAGCGTTTTCCCCTTGTGACATGAATTAGGTTCTTGGAATTTCAGTCTTAACCTCTATCTTCTATTGAGCAAAGAGGAAGGAAAGCCTCATGAGTCAGGTTGAGGGATGAATAAGTGTAATGAGCTCAGAAAGTAATTTATTATCTATCTGGGTATCTTTTATGTTCCTTGCCTGTGCATAAAGATTGCCTACCTATGTTCTCTTTTGACCCCAGAATTCTTTAGATATTAAAGGCAGGGTGAGAGACGGAAGGTGATTCAACCCATAATCAACTATTTCTACTTTTATTGAGATAACATTAGTTTGATTTTGAGAGTGCCTTTCACACCTCTTCAAAGGTATGTTGTCACAAATGTGTTATGACTGCTGTTATTGTTCTACTACCATATATTACACTCTTTCCATCATATGTAACCAGTATTTTTTTCACATCTGGCAGGCTAGTTTCTGCTGTCCAAATCCAAAGTTTGATTTTGGACAGGTTCATCTAATTCCTTCACATTGTTTCTTCATGTCTCATGAATGACTGTGATCATTTGGTATGTGTCTATCTCTTTTGCCTTATTTCACTTGGTGTTATATCGTTTAATCCATGATTTACCAAAAGGTAAGATTTCATTTTTTTGTAACTGAACGTTATTCCATTGTGTCTATATAACCGCATCTTTATCCACTCATATGTTGTTGAGTATGTGGATTGTTTCCAGATCTAAACTACTGTAAACAGCATTGTAATATGCCTAGGAATGCATACATCTTTTCAAAACAGTGATTTCATATTCCTTGGATAGATAGATATATGAGATTTTCTTCTCTTGCTGCTGTAAGTAGTCTTCGTTTGTCTTTTGATTTAACAATTTTGATTACTATGTGTCTTGGTGTACTTTTGTTTGCGTCCATTTTGTTTTGTATCCTTTGAGCCTCTTGAAAATGTGCAGGAGCCTCTCTCAAGATATCAGTAAAGTTCTCAGTTATTATTTCTTTAACCAGCTGATTTTACCATGTACATTTTCCTACTTCTAGGCTGGAGTGATAGCACAGTGGGGAGGGCGTTTGCCTTGCATGGGGCCAACCAGGCCGACCAGAGTTCGATTCCTCCACCCCTCTCGGAGAGCCCAGCAAGCTTCCAAGAGTATCCCGCCTGCATGGCAAAGCCTGGCAAGCTACCTGTGACGTATTCAATATGCCAAATACAGTAACAACAAAGTCTCACAATGGAGACATTACTGGGCCTACTTGAGCAAATCAATGAACAACGGGAGGACAGTGCTACAGTGCTACGGTATTTCTATGATTTGTAGATTATTTATCTTGCTATTATCTATCAACCCTTTCAGAGAGCCCGGCAAGCTACCGAGAGTATCTCACCTGCACGGCAGAGCCTGGCAAACTACTGTTTTTGGCATATTCAATATGGCAAATTCAGTAACAATAACGGGTCTCTTTCCCCTGACCCTGAAAGAGCCTCCAATATGACAGCATTGGGAAAGACGAGTAAGGAGAGGCTGCTAATATCTCAGGGCTGGGATGAATGGAGACATTACTGGCACCCACTTGAGTAAATTGATGAACAACGGAAAGACAGTGATACAGTGGTACAATGATTATCAACAAGCTTGCATTATCTTCCATTCATTTACTTTTCTTTTTTCACTTCGTCATTGGTAATGGCTAGTATTTTGTCTTCTATATCACTGATGTGGTCCTCTGCACGCTGAATTCTGTTTTTTTTAACTTGCTATTGCATTTGTATAGACTCTTTGAAAGATGATGAATTCATCTTTAAGTTGGTTGATTTTTTTCTTCCAGTTATTGCTTTATTTCCATGGCTGTTGTATGGAGCACTAATTTGGTTTACTCATTGATGAGGCCTGAGGGTTCCTTTGATCTCAGTGATTTGCCAAGACTTCTGTCTCTGTCTGTAAGAGCAGGTGAATTTTTTTGTTCCATCATTGTTCTTAAAATTTTTTGGTGCTACAATTTGAGTTTTAAATGACAGACATCTGATCTATTTTGTTATTTTTCAGAAAGCGGTATTCTTTATAATATATTAGTTCAACCATGACCATGCTCTTGAGATGTTACTTCATTGGCCATGTTTACTAATAGGGCATCATGGTGAGGAGGACCATCACAGACATGAAAATGTTTATTCTTAAAACTCTTATTATTCCTATGCTCATTGCAATGCTAATTACAGTAGTCTAGTTCTGGACAGAACCCAAGTCTCAACAAGATATGAGTGGATAAAGCTGTTGTATAGATACACAATGGAATAATGCTCAGTTCAAAAAAATTAATCATACATTTTGATTAAACATGGGCTAACGGATGTGACACGGAGTGAAATAAGGCAGAAGGAGAACACACATACCAAATGATCCCACTCATTCATGAGACATAAGGGAACAATGTGAATGAATTATACGAATCTGTCCAAAATCAAACTTTGGATTTGGACAGCAGGAACTAGATTTCTAGAGGCGGAGGATATAGTGGGCACATATAATGGGAAGAATCTATTTGTGATGGTAGAAAGATGACAGCAGCCTTGTAGAAGGCACATTGTTACAACATACCTTTGAAGAGTGTGTGAAGGCATTCTCAAAATATGCAACGATGTAAACCAATGCTATCACAATATAAAAAGGAATACTCATGCATTCAATAAAAAAGGAATAGCCATGTCATCCCTACAAGTTTCTAATATATCCATTTTAATCAGTCTAGAGACGAGGGATGTGACTCGGGGTCACTGTCACTCTCCTCCCGTTGTTCATCGATTTGCTTGAGCGGGCCCAGTAACGTCTCCATTGTGACACTTGTTACTGTGTTTGGCATATAGAATATGTCATGGGTAGCTTGCCAGGCTTTGCCATGCAGACGAGATACTCTCGGTAACTTGGCAGGCTCTCCGAGAGGGGCAAAAGAATCAAACCTGCTTCAGCTGGATCGGTCACGTGCAAGGCAAACAAATGCACTACCTGCTGTGCTATTGCTCCAGCCCATCCATTTTAATAGAAGAGTTAAAATAAACATATTTTAGGAATTGTGCAAGACATAAGATGCCTTGAAGTTGGTGGGAATGAAGGATTGTTGGTTTCATGTCCAAGAGGACTTTGAGAAGGCCTTCCTCAGTCCTTGGGACCCAGGAAGGGGAATGTAGATGGCACAGAAGCCACGGGGCAGGATGAAGGCTAGCGACCTTGTCACACATGAATGAGAAAAGAGGCTAGCTTCAGTTTTCTGGGTCCTTGGGGGTATGTTCAGTGTTTGATAGGGATTTGGGAAGGGTTTTCTCTGTCCATGGCACTAAGAAGGATTTACATATGGCATAGAAGTTGTGGAGCAGGATAGGATAGGTACATATGAGTAGAATTTCTGTATTATATGTTAGTTCTAATTTTAGCATATTGAAAATACTTATTTCCAAAGAGACTGGACCAATTTATGTTCCCCCCCTCATTTGTGCACAAGGATTCATTCCCCCCAAGAGGCTCATAGAGATTTATTCTTTCTAGTTTTTGTAATATAGTGATTTTTGTAGGAGGTAGGTGATTTATCATTGTCATATTGATTTGCATTTTAATAATAAGTTATGATAAGCATTTTATCCTTTATCTGTTGGCCATTTGTGTGCCTTCTTTGTAGAAGTGTGTCTCAGGCTATTCTGCTCATTTTTCATGGGTTATTTATTTATTTTGAGTTTTATGATTGCTTTTTATTCCTTAGATTCCTAGTTGGCCTAGAGGAATGTATGGTATTTGAATATTTTTCCCATTAAGAAGACTATATTTTTTATTTTTCAGGTAGCTTCTTTTGTGTGCAGAATATTTTGTTTGTTTCGGGAGACACACCCAATTATGTTCTGTGATAACACCTGGATCTGTGCTCAGGGATGACTCCTGTCTGGACTCAGGTCACATATGTGGTGCTGAGGATTGAATCCATATGGGCCCTGTGCAAAGCAAGTGACCTATGCACTGTACAATCTCTTCAGCACTGCAGAAATTTTTTGAATTAACTTGGTCATAATTGTTAATCTTTCTTATGTATCACTTGACAAGAAGTTGAATTCCCAAAGACATCACTGGACCCAGTATATCACAGTGTTTTGTCTAGTTTTTTTGTTGTATTATATGGTTTTAGGTCTAATACAAGAATAATACAAGACTAATCATTTTTTTTTTGTTTAACCAGAGGTTAAACCCAGGTTTCAAGCATGCAAGACCCATACTTTACCACTGATCAAATCCACATCCCCAGTAGATTTACAGCAGATTTATCAGAGGAAACAGTCTGAACCTGAAGACAATGGTGGGATATACTAAATTGTAATTTGTTTTGAATTAATATTTTCATTGTAAGACTCTGTCATTGTCACTGTCCTCCCGTTGTTCATAGATTTGCTCCAGCGGGCCCAGTAACGTCTCCATTGTGAGACTTGTTGTTACTGTGTTTGGCATATCGAATACATCACAGGGAGCTTGCCAGGCTTTGCCATGCAGGCGAGATACTCTCAGTAGCTTGCAGGGCTCTCCGAGACGGGTGGAGGAATTGAACGTGTAAGACTGTGTTATAATTTCATTCTTCATGGGTCTGGCTTTCACAGTGTCATTTGTTGAAGAGACTTTTTCAATACTGTAGGAGTATTTATTTTGAGTGGGGAACCATATCTGTTAGTGCTCAGGCAGTATTCTTGGCTCTGTTCTCAAGGGTCACTTATGGTTATGTTCAGGAGACCATAATGGGAGTGCCAGGCATTAAGCCTTACTCTCACATGCAAA